AATTTTCTGTTCAGGGTCTTTTTAAGATTTTATTTATTTAATGTGAGTGCTCTATCTGCATGTACACCTGCACGCCAAATGAGGGCACCAGATCTCACTATAGATGGGTGCTGGGAATTGAACTCAGGACCTCTGGAAGCGCAGCCAATGCCCTTATCTACTGAGCCCTCTCTCCAGGCGTGTCCAGGGGTCCCGAACTGGGTTCATTTTCTCTCAGTAGCAGTGGCAGAATCTCAAGTGGGGCAGAAAGCTGAAGAAAGGCTTTTATTAGGGGCGAGGAAGCAAGCGCGCACAGCAAGCTCACGGAGAGCAGCGGGACTCGGGAGTTAATAATACGCCTCAGGGTCACTGAGGACTCAGCCTGCTTACCACTGTGTACTCCGCTGATCTGGCCTTTCAACAAACAATGTGTCCACCAGCCTTCCTGGCCTGTATTTCTGTATAATCAACCTTTACAGCCTAAGCCAATGCTGAGCTGTGATTTTAGCTACGCGCCCTTCCGTGACCCAGCCCAGAACAAAGCCTCCATTTCACGAAGGCAGCAGATGCAGGGGTTGAGAGCACCCACTTGTGGATACCGCTGATAAATGATGTTTTCAGTACCATTTGTTGACTGGCTCAGTGAAGGTCAGCTGGACTCACCGACTTCATCTCTTGTAAAACTCTGTTAAAGATTCCTGTAAAGTGCCCCGTTCCTTCCCGATGGGAGGCTTTCTGTGCTGTGCAATAAAGACAGAGCAATGGACACACGGTCACACACAGCCACACTCGGGACACACAGACACAGGACAGACAGATTCACTGGGCACTCCTCCCCTAGTTTAGGGCTGGTCAGTTTGAAGAAAGACAGGATGTGGCCAGAACCTGCCGGGCCTGTCCCTCAGCCAGGGCCTCGCCCTCGGGAGAAGAAGCCCACAAAGACCTTTGTTTCAAGTTGTCAGGCTTTCGTCTCAAGTCAGGAGGGTAAGGAGGACTCCCTAGTCATGGCCCCCTACCTATCCGCCTCTGTCTAACTCTTAGCCCCTCAACATCACCAGACAGAAAGATACTTCTTTAAAATGGGAGATGCGAAAAGTGTGTGAAGGTGAGATGGGGGCTAAGTTTCTGCTGCTTTGCCAGTGACCAGAAGGATTAAAATGATTTTAATGGACTTGAAAAATTATTATATGTGGGCTGGAGAGATGGCTCAGAGGTTAAGAGCACTGCCTGCTCTTCCAAATGGTCCTGAGTTCAATTCCCGGCACCACATGGTGGCTCACAGCTGTCTACAGTGAGATGCGGGTGTACATGCAGGCAGAACACTATACACATGATAAAATAAATAAATAAATCCTTAAGAAAAATACGGCTGCTCTAGCAAGAAATCTCACCCAAAGATATTCTTTGTCTGCGTGTCTGGCTGAAATATAGACACGCCTTTAACCAAGGAGACAGAGGCCAGCAGATCTGAGTTCAAGGCCAGCCTGGTGTAGAGCAGGTTTCAGGTAAAGAAGAGCTTAGGTCCAGGCATGGTGGTGCACACCTTTAATCCCAAACAATGAAGGAAAGTTAGTTTGTAGAAGGAAGCACCCATGTTTGAAAGTGATGTCTAACTGAGTGGCAGAAACAGTGTTGAATCAGGGAAAGACTTGACAGAATAGGATACGCCCAGCTCTCAGGAGGAGAGGAAAGGGAAGCTTCTTAAGGGGCAATGAGAGAGAGAGAGAGAGAGAGAGGAGGCTGTTTTGCAGGTGAGTTTTTCAGAAAGAGAGAGGTTGAAGAGAGAACAAGCTAGACACAGGTGACAACAGAACAAGCCAGAGAATGAGAAGGATCCAGGAGATTAGAGCAGACTGTGTTCATTTGAGACTGATTCCAGGGCCAAGAGAGAAGCCAGATTGAGCAGATCAGCTGGGAGAGGAGTTTGAACCAGAACAGCTGAGTTGAAGCAGCCAGCCCAGAGCTCAGGAAGAACAAGAGCGAGCTAATTCAGCAGTGAGTCTAGGAGGCTGAAAACATCACGGCCTGGTTTAGATTGTTCGGAGGCCAGAGCTCCCAGGACAAGGCCTAGCCAGCAGACAAGGCAGCAAGCCTCCGAGATGACAAATGAAACAGGCGGATAAAATTTACTTTTACAATTTTATATTTACCTCTTTTATTTTGTGTGTATGAGTATCTTGTCTTGTATGTATGTATTTATCATGTATGTATGTGTACCACATGTGAGCCTGTGCTGGAAGTGGAGTTACAGATGGTGTGAGCCGCCGCGTGGGCGCTGAGAATCAAGTCTTGGTGGTCTTAGCCACCAAGTCGCCTCTTCAGGCCCCAGGATACTGATTTTAGTGTTACAACTAAAGTTTAGAAAGTAGGCAAATTTGAGCCTGGCAGTGGTGGCGCACACCTGTGATCCCAGTACTCAGGGATGCAGAGGCAGCCGATCTCTGTGAGTTCGAGGCCAGCCTGGTCTACAGAGGGAGTCCAGGACAGCCAGGGCTACACAGAGAAACAAAGATATGAGTAGAGCTATCATGGCAATAGAGCTTAAATCAGCCAGTCACAGTCAGTGGCAGTTAGGAAACAGATCTCCAAAGAACGCTGGTTCCGGGGTGTTTTTCTTTCCTCCTCCTCCCCTTCCTCCTCCTCTTCTTTCTGTTGTTTTTGAGACAGGGTTTCTCTCTGGAGCCCTGGCTGTCCTGGAACTTGCCTCTGCCTCTGAGTGCTGGGACTGAAAGGCGTGTGCTATCGTGCCCAGCCTCTTCGCCCTTCCTACTCACCTTGAGGCCTCATGGAGAGGCTCCTCCCTCATTAAACCTCTCGAGAACACCTGCGAGAGGACCCTTAGTGTGCTGCAGGCTGGCCTCGAACTCTCCAAGATTCGCCTCTCCTCACTAACGGCTGCACCCCCACGCCCAGCTGCTTCTTCCAAGAATGAGACAATGGATCCATCTTCTCCAACTCCAACCATCACCGTCCTTGGGCAAAAGGGTGAAGGCTGATTCGGACACTAAGTGTATCTCACTTTGAACTTCGTGACAGAGACCAGTAGAGAACAAATCACAGAAACTTTCTGTTTTGCCAGACAGGATTTCTCTGTGTAACAACCCTGGGTCTCCTGGACTCGCTTTCTAGACCGTGGTAGCCTCGGACTCGCCGAGATCCGTGCTAGGATTAAAGGCGGACACCACCCCACCCGGTGTACAGAAACTTTTTATTATTATTTATTCTGCGTGTGGATGTTCTGCCTGGGGGGGGGGGGGCACCACAGTCGTGCAGAGCCAGCAGCGGCCAAAGGAGGGCGTCCGAGCCCCGGTATTGGAGTTACAGATGCTGGCAAGCCGCACACAGACGCGGGAATCCAACCCCAGCCCCTTGGCAAACTCAGCAGTTACGCCTTGCTTGGCTCTCCAGGCCTTGGAGCCCCGAGAGTTTTCTGCGCCTTCTCGGCTTGGAAGTTCTCAAAAACTGGAGAGCTTCTAACCATGGGGTCACCACGACTGTCGGGGACCGCCTTTGTGGCACCACCTTCCCCTTGTCCTTTGCCCTGTCCCATCTGCGGACCTCCAGAGTGCGCGGGTTTTTCACTGCCTTTCGGAACAGATCAGGCAGCTCACCTTGGTGTGCCCGGGCCCTTCACTTTAGTACCCAAAGCCTCATTACGGCCTGTCAGGCCACTGGGGCACTCAGGGACCCTGCCTGGCAGGACGCCGGGGCAGGCTCGCTGCGGGAGTTTCCTTGCCCAGGCTTGGCTACTTAGGAACCCGTAGCGGGCCTACGGGGGAGGGGGGCTGCTGAGCGCCCTCCCAACCCTCTGCACCCAGTCCGGGAGGTAGCGGTCCACCCCCCTTCTGAGCCGCTGGGCTCTTTTGTTTCCTTTTGGTTTGGCTGCTTGGTTTCCCTTTGTTTTGCTGTGACACTGAAGTGAGGGAGCCTGCTCTTGAACAGGGTTAGGAGTTACCCAAGTGCACCTGGACAGTCAGCCACCCCCACCCCGCACCCCAAGCTTCTTACCTCACGACAGGGATGATGAAGGCCATAGGCAGAGCCCTGGGCCTCTCACGAGGCGGCTATAGCTGGTTTTTCCCTTTGTTTTCTTTGATGTTCTCCGTGTGTCTCTCTCTGCTCTTTTGAGACAGAGCCTTACTTTGCAGCCCAGACTGGAATTCACTGTGTAGACCAGGTTAGCTTTGGCTGAAGGCAATCCTCCTGCCTACACACCAGATTTAGATGTGGGCCAATACCTCCTCTCACTTTTTTTTCTTTTTGTGGTGTTTTGTCTGCGTGCATGTGTGTGTACCATGTGCGTGAGAAAGGGAAGTTGGGTCCCCCAGCACTGGAGTCACAGGGCAGCTTCGAATCCAAGTCGGCTGGAAGAGTGGCCAGCGCTCCTAACTGCCAAGCCACCACCTCTCCAGCCCTCGTTTTTATTGAAAAAGAAAAAAATACCTGTATAGCCCCGCATAGTGTCACAGCTTCAACTCCACCACTCAACCAAAAAACTAGGGCATTTCTAGCATCTAGAAATTTCTCTCCTCATCCTCCTGTCCTGCTATCTAATTGGAACTCACTATCCTGCTGCAAATCTAAACAAACTAAAAATAAACAGGTTTTTTTTTTTTTTTTAATTAACAGGAAACGACACAGCGCAAATGTAATAAATGAGTAAACCCTGTAGGTTTCAGATGGCAACCGTTGCTATGGAAGGAAGAGGAGGAGGCCAGGAGGAGGGGAGCCCCACGGGCAGGCTGGCATCTGTGCGGAGACGTGGCGGGCAGGAGGACAAGCCAGGAGGAGCTCCCGAGAGCCTCTGGGCATCCTCAGTGGTGACTGCTCCAACCCGGGGGACAGTTCTCGCCATCTGGAGATGTCGCTAGTTCCCGAAACCAGACACGAAGGGGATTACTTCAGACACCAAGTGTGAAGTGAGAGGCCACCCCTCCTGAGCCAGGCTAGCAGATCGCACTGCTCAGAAGCCGGGCTGGGGAAGCCGCAGAGCACGATGGGTCACGAAGTCCGGGGGGGGGGGGGGGGGGGGGGGCAGCGGTGCCAGATGACTTTCTGGGGGGGGCGCTGTGCAGGCCCTGGCTTCCTGGAAACGAAGGAATGATGTCATCCCTCTTTGCTATGCTGACATCAGCCTGGAGGGAGGGGTGCTGGGGTAGGAGGGGACGTGGGAGGGGAGGCACTTGGACCCACGAGGCCGCGTGTAGGCTGCCCTGAGCTTCCCGGGCACTGGGTTCCTCTCCCCTCAAACCCGGCCACACAGCCCCTCCCGGGACTCTGGGTGAAGACCACCCTTCTGATCAGGGTTGGCAGCTGGCTCTTCCCACAGACCGCCATTAAAGTGGTAAGCCGTGGCCATATCCCTCCTGGTCCCTCCCTCACAGCAGCAACGGAGGCTCCAGGCTCAGCGCTGGCCTCTCCATCGCCTCTTCACCTCAGACACTCCCATGTGGAGGGCAGTGCACACCTTCCCTTCACACTGGCGTCAAGCCGGTGACATCCATCTCTGGTCACCATCCCAGGTTACCACGGTCCTGAAAGGTTGACCTCTGAACTTTGCTTACTTGCTTGTTTTTTTTGCATTTGTTCTTGGCGTCATAGCCAAGAAATTGTTGCTCAAGCCAACGGGACACAACCGTGAGGCTGAGGAAAGGCTGGTTCCCCACCTCCTTCCACCTGGCCTGGCTGTCCCTCGGAAGGAGGGCCTGCCTAACCCTGCTGTCCACCTGGACCACACTGTCCCCACGTGAGGCAGCCTTTGTCACCTTGAAGACAGCAGCCTCTCCTGGCCTTGCCTTGGTTCCTGCTCCTTACTCTTGGTGCCCTGTGCACACGCCCTCTCGTTTATCAGCTTTTCTCTCGCTATCTTTGGATGAACCGGCCAGCCACTGCTCAGCCTTCTGGTATAAGGAGGTTTGGCTGGGCACACAGGCCAGCTTTTATTCCCCAAAGCACCCAGCAGACACACTGGGAGCCCTGGGGACTGGGAGAGCTGTACAACAGGCTCTTAACCAGAAAAAAATGGCTCCTGTCCTCCCGATGCAAGTTAAAGGAAAGTCCTTATGCTGTTTCAGAATAACGACTTCAAGGCAGCTGTGTAAGCCTAGAGTGATAGAAGGCTCAGGTGGAGGGTCCCAGGAGCCCAGGAATTCAAGTCCAGTTTGAACGACAGAGTGAGGCTCTGTTAAAACAAACTGTTCCAGCAGTCAGGAGGCAGAAGCAGGCAGATCTCTGTGAGTTTGAGGCCAGCCTGGTCTACAAAGTGAGTTCTAGGACAGCCAGGGCGACACAGAGAAACCCTGTCTCAAAAAAACAAACAACAAAAAAAGAGCTAGCAGTTCTTAGTTTTAGAATCAGACATGTAAATATATATTTGTAGGGGCTGGAGAGATGGCTCAGAGGTTAGGAAAACTGATTGCTCTTGCAGAGGTCAGGAGTTCAAATCCCAGCAACCACATGGTGGCTCACAACCATCTATAGTGAGATCTGGTGCCCTCTTCTGGCCTGCAAACAGAATACTGTATACATTAATAAACAAACAAATCTTTAAAAATATATATTTTTGTACATAGTTCAGAAAATGAAGTGGCCTCTCGAACTGCCTGCATTCTACCTCAGTTTACACCTCCCATGTCTTCATTGGTGCAAATATTAGAATAATATTACAGGGGGCTGGAGAGATGGTGCAGTGTTTGAGAGCACTGGCTGCTCTATCAGAGGTCCTGAGTTCAATACCCAGCACCACATGGTGCTTCACAACCACCTATACTGGAATCTGATGCCCTCTTCTGGCGTGCAGGTGTACATGCAGTCAGAGTACTCATATACAATAAATAAAAAAAATCTTAAAAAAAAAAAAGAATTTTACAGGCATGCGCCACACCTGGCTAAACTGCTGGCTCTGTAGAAATCCCCTTCTGTGTCATCCTACCTAGCTAGTCTGCCTCTCTCTCCAGCTCCTCCAAACCCGTGAGGGCTCTGCTCTCTTTCCTAAAATTCCGTTTCACCTGAGTCTTGCCAGCTGCTTCCGTGCTGTTCCCACAAGTCCACAGAGAGGATGCCTGTCTCTTACCCCTTACCTGAAGCTCCATCTGTGAGGGCCCTTCCAAGCCAAAGGAGAGCGAGCTCTCAGGGGCCCAGCTGCTGTAAAAGAAGTCCCTAGCTCCTCCTCTACACCTTTACCTCCCCTGAACCTGTCACCCTCATGGTGGGGGCTCCCAGCCAGGTCAGAGGGGCCAAACCATTCCACCTTTACAGAGGGGCAGCTCAAGGCCAGGTGAGCAAAGACCACAAGACCTCCCCCAAGCAACCTGCCTTAAAACAGGCGGGAACTGTCCATTCTTTAGTGTAGAGGCCTCGAGCTCAGCCCGGCTGCCTCTCTCCAGGACACTCCTGACTGCACCTGACCACCACTGAGCTTTTTTTTGGACCCTGCTGATGTCCAGAAAGCAAATATCCTGTTCCAGGGACATTTGGTGACACACTTGTACACATGAAAATGAAAACAAATAAAACAGAGCCGGGCCTGGTGCCGAACGCCTGTAGTCCCAGTGCTCAGGGAGGCAGAGGCAGGTGGGTCTCTGAGTTCAAGGCCAGCCTGGTCTATAAAGGGAGCCCAGAACAACCAGGACTACAGAGAAACCCTGTCTTAAAAACAACAAAATAAAATAAAATGAAAATGAAAACAGGAGGGCTGGAGAGACAGCTCAGAGGTTAAGAGCACTGGCTGCTCTTCCAGAGGTTCTGAGTTCAGTTCCCAGCACCCACATGGTGGCTCACGCCATCTATGATGAGATCTGGTGTCCTGCAGGCAGAACACTGTATATGTAATAAAATCTTTTTAAAAAGTGAAAATAGGACAAGAAGTTGAGCTAGATACAAAGGCCACACACCAACACTGCCCCAGTGCGAGAATTTGGTGACATTAGCTCCCCACGACCTTATTCCCAGGCCTCTCCTACACTGTTGTTAAGGTAAACAGAAATGTTAGGGTTAAAAGGCTTGTTACCATTCAGACTGGGCGGTCAGGAACACTGGGGATGAGGAATAATGGCTCGCTCCTGGTTAGGAAAAGGCTCTAGTAAAAAAAACAAAAACAAAACACAAAACAACAACAACAACAAAAAAAAAAAACAACATCAAAACCAGTTTCAACAGGCTGTAATCCCAGCACTAGGGAGGCAGAGGCAGGCAGATCTCTGGGTGTGAGGCCAGCCTGCTCTATAAATCGGAGTTCCAGGTCATCCAGGGCTACGCAGAGAAACCCTGTCTCGAAACAAAACAAAGAACAACAAAAAGAGAGAAGACTGGTGGTGAACAAGAACAGCTTCTGAAAGAGCCCATTCCAGAGGGACATTTGGGACAGAAAAGGGTCACCTGTTGCCATGAATATGGCACCTGCTGTATAAATATCCATAAAACTACTTTAAAATCCAGAGCCCGGAATCCACTAGGCCGCTTGGAGCAGCCGCTCCAGGCTCTTTTCGGAGTGCTCGCTTAGCTCGGCTTTGCTAAGTAAAGCTCTGCTTAGACTCTCTGTGTGTGCCCCTCTTTAAAAATTCATATGTATCTGTTGTGCGCGGGAGACTGGGGTTGTGGAGGTCAGAGGACAACCTGTGAAGTCAGTCCGCGTCGTTCCCCCACCCCAGCCAGCAACCCCTGCAGCAAAGGGGCAACCGCCCCTGGCTGAGGCAGGAGGGCCACGCCGATTCAGACTTTCTTTGCACTAGTGAGGTACCGAGCAGAGAGGGCCACAGCAGCGGCTGTGCTGGGGTCCCAAGCCAGGAGACTGTGTCCATATGGGGCCACGGCAGCCTTGGCCTCCCCAGGCCAGCTCTGCGGGGAGCTTCAGCCCTTGTCCGCACCGAGGTGCCCTCTACCGGCCTGCTTTTCTGATCCTACAGTCTTCCCCGCAGCTCTAGGCGCTCGGCAAGGCCCTCCATCGTCTCATTAACGGCTGAAACGCCCCGGCTGCTTGCTTTCTTTACCAACTAAAAACTGTTGCCTCCACCTGAATTCAGGGCTCCGCCCACCTGATGGCTGCTCTCAGGCCCAGCTCAGCGTCACACCCGTGTTGCTCTGCAGCCGCTAGGATCTGCCTGGAGCAGCAGCTGCCGGCAAAGTCCGGGTTCTGGGCCCTGGAAGCCTTTGCTCTGCTCTGGAGACTCGGTCTCCAGCCACAGCACAGTCTCACCGCAGGCTGCTGCACGGATTCATTAAGTGGGATTTGGGGATGCAGGGGAGAAGACGGTGTCAGAGCTCAGGGATTATGAGGATCCAGAGGATCCAGGTTCGATTCCCAGAACTGACAACCATCCATAACTCCAGTTCTGGTGCTCTCTTCTGACCCCCACAGACACCAGGCATGCACATGCTTTTTATACATACATGTAAACAGAGCACTTTTGGTTTGGTTTGGTTTTTTCGGAGACAGGGTTCTTCTGTGTAGCCCTGGCTGTCCTGGACTCACTCTGTAGACCAGGCTGGCCTCGAATTCACAGAGATCCACCTGCCTCTGCCTCCCAAGTGCTGGGGTCACAGATCTGTGCCACCATGCTGGCAGGGCACTTTTTTTTTTTTTTTTTAAAGATTTATTTATTATTTATACATTATTCTGCCTGCATGTACACCTGCGGGCCAGAAGAGGGCACTAGATTTTCACTATAGATGGCTGTGAGCCACCATGTGGGTGCTGGGAATTGAACTCAGGATCTTTGGTAGAACAGCCAGTGCTCTCAACCTCTGTGCCATCTCTCCAGCCTGGCAGAGCACTCTTACACATAAAATAACAACAAAAAGAGGAATATGTGTAAAGAAGCATAAAGCAAACTTTTCTTTTTTTTCTTTTTGTTTGTTTGTTTTGTTTTGCAAGTCAGGAGTCAGGCTTACCTTGTGTAGCCCTGGCAGTCCTGGAACTTGATCTGTAGAGCTGGCTGGCCTTGAACACTGTGTGCGGCTCCCAAATACACTTTCAAATTGGGATAATATTTTACATAATTGTTGTCCTGTCTTAAGAAAAAAAAAAAAAAAACAGATTTATAAAGTTGGGTGTGGTGGCACACACCTGTGGTCCCAGCGCTCAGGGAGGCAGAAGCAGGTGGATCTCTGTGAGTTCAAGGCCAGCCTGGTCTACAGAGTGAGTCTAAGAAACCCGGTTCATGAGGTCTAGTCAGGCTAACAGACATATTTATAAATACGTATTTGACCTCCTTGTTTTTGCTAGCATTATTAAATAGAGCTGTTTTCTATAAACTGGGTCACACAAGGAGCTGTTATGTTCTATAATGATATATCACGTGTGGATTAAGAAAGTTCCCAGGTTCGCTATTTCAAAATCTCATCCTAAGCCAAGCGCAGTAGCACACGCCTGTAATCCCAGCACTCAGGGAGGCAGAGGCAGGTGGATCGATGGAAGTTCGAGGCCAGCCTGGTCTACAAAGGGAGTCTAGGACAGCCAGGGCTATACAAAGAAACCCTGTCTCAAAAACAAAAAACAAAAGCAAAAAAACAGCTTAATTCTGAAAGAGCGTCAATTCAGAAACTGTCATTTTTAAAAGCTATTAAAAATTATATAAATTAATAATCAGTAACCTTATAAATGATCAAATTCTTTAAAATAAAAAAAAAATCCAATTATTGTCCTGCTAAGAACTAATGTAATTAATTATAGGGATAAGCCTAGGACAGATAACTAAAAACAACATTTGTCTATTCAGATATATTTTTTTATAGGGATAGATAGTTCTCACACACTTCCGGGATTCTGCAGAATATGAAATTAAAATGTTTCAGAAAAAAGCTTTTCATAAAAGAGACATGCCAGCTCCTGAAAACACCCCTAATTTCCTCCAAAGAGGATGGACACCAGTTATATTCCACCTGGAGTTTGTTTCCGTTATGGCTGAGCTGGCCATCGGGTAAACTGAGGTAAACTGCCTGGACAGACAGCATGGATACTGGGAAGTTGCCTCGACAAGGTATGGCCGTCCCCTAAGCTCTTGCTCCACAGGAAGCTCTGTCAGAACTTGTGGGCCTGGGTGACTGTCAGACAGATGCCCAGGCCGCAGAGGAAGCCTGG